CCCCCAGATTTCCCCATGCCCCCCCAACCCCTGGAGCAGAGTGCCCCCAATCCCCATCTCAGCCAAGAGGTCCTGAATGATACCATCAGTTGAATCCAACCATCTTTTCCACTGGTGAAAATGGGAGGAGGGGGGGTCTCCTTTTCCATCCCAAAAGACTATGCTGGGGATCATGAGACATGCATGCATGGACAAAGGCCATATGGGACAAAGGCTATAGTAAGGAGGGGAAATGGGTGAGATTGAGTGAAAAGGCAAGTTGGTTGTTAGTACTGAAGGTTGCCAAGAGATCCAGGATGACAAAAAGAATGCACTCCCTATCTCTCTCCTGAAATAGATCATCTCCCGGTGAACGGCACATTTTCAGTTCCAAAACCAGGCTTGAAGTCAAATCTCTTTTCTTGCCTTTTTAAAAAATTGATACCCCCACCTTTCTCCCCAACGGGGACCCAAAGTAGCTTTCATCATTTTCTCCTCCATTTTATCTTAAAACAACCCTGTGAAACAGGTTGGGTTAAATGTGTGCAACTGGTCCAAGGTTACCCAGTAAGCATTCAAGGCAGAGTGGGGATTCGAATCTGTGTCTCCCAGATCCTAATTCAACACTCTGAGCATTACACCACACTGCACTTGCCCCATCTCCTCACCTTGTTTGAAGTTGTCCAGGTTGCGGAATTCCACCAGACTGTTTCCGTAGTAATAGTTGGTGACATAGATGCGGTCGTCTTTGGCGACTGGATCCTTCATCCAAGCTCCTTCATTGCGTCCATAGCTGTGGTGCTTCTCAGGAGCCTCCACCGATTCCAGTGTACCTTCACACGTTGCCTCACGCACTGAAGAGCCAACAGCAGGGTTAACATGGCTAGAGAAGTCAACAGAGAAGTTGGGTGGCCTCCCGACAAAGCAGTCTCCTTTCCATGGGGAGGACCAAACCCAAGACTAAGACCACCCTTTCTACTTCACTCTTTCTCACACTGCCCAACTGCCCTGTACAAGGGGGTGCTCCTGATTTGGAAACAGGGTGTTTGTGTCAGGTCACACCCTGGCAATCCCCAACCCAAATTCTAAGCTGCAGTTGAAAGAGGGGTTTTGTACATACCACGGTTGGGGGTTTCGGGCCCCTCAGTGGGAGCAGCAGTGCTTGGTGGCTTTGGAGTGCTTGTAATAGCAGGCCAAGTGCTGCTGGTGCTGGGACGTCCAGTAGTGCTGGGACTTGTTGCAGAGGTTTCCCAAGCCCTGGTCTGTGCCTCCTGAACTGGTTGGAGTGTAGGGTCTTTGCCTTCTTGCCGCTCCATCTGCTGTTCTCCATTCATAGGGTTCTCTGCAGGGAACAACCAACCATACTGAGGTGCTTTCTTTAGTGTTGCCTGCAGCTGGGGCTATACAACCAACTGCATTTCCCAACCTAGGAGGACCATTTTGCCAATGTTGCCTAGAATGTAGAAGATGTTCGCCTCTCCTGCACACACCTGCCTTAGAACTTACCACGGTTGCTCACCAGCCCCTCTGCTTCTTCCTGATGTCCAGCCTTGTAGTAAGTGACACCTCGGATAACAGTTTGCTGGTGCCCTGAGGATCTGGGCTTGGAAGTGGGCTGTGATGGTCCCTGCCGCCCCTTTGCGCTTTCCTTTCTTGGCTTCTCCGGTTTGGGTGGCTTCTCTGGTTTGGGTGGCTTCTCCTTGGGAGACTTCAGTACAGCCTTGTCCCCCTGGTTCTTCCGAGTGCCAGAGTACTTCCCACCATTGTCCCTCTCTTTTCCTCCAGATGTTTCCTAGGAGGAAAAGAATCACCATCAGGAAAATTTTGATGTGCAATGCAGAGGGGCAGATCTGACATTGTGAAGGGGACTGTGGAGGTCACTTCTTAATAAACTCAAAGGAGCAGTTAAACAGTCAAAGAAGATGGTGAGGGAGGGAGCAGTCAGACTCACTTCACTAATGGAGTTTTTCAAGAAAAATTGTGACAGGCATTTGCTGAATGCGTTGGGTTCCCTGATTTGGGGCCATTACTGGGTCCTATAAGAGAGGAAGTACTCAAACTGGGCTCCTCTGGCAGTCCCCGCAGGCCACCCTTCAGCCTTGGGGCCTTCAGTCATCTGACGGCCAGAATCAATTGCAATATATCCTTGACCCAGTCAACAGTTTAAGCCAGGATAACCACAACTCTTTCACTCAGCAAGCTTCCAACATTCTCCTGGAAGTCTCCCTTTCACAACCCTTCTCAACCCTTTTGCACCCACCCTGTTAGTTCTGTTGAACTGCACAGAAATTCAGCCCAGTTCTGGTTCATAATCCAAAGTTAAGGAGTCAAGTGCTTTCTGGTACCAACCAGTTGTCTGACCGTACTGATTGTTGACCTCAGGACTGCCCCCCCCCCAATTTCCAAACACTGCCAGAGAATATTAAACAACCTGGATTTTGTACTTGTGCCTTATGTCAGAAACAATACTGACCTGTGCTTTGGTCTCAGGCACAGCAGCTGCATCTTTCTGCAGCAGCTGATATCCCAGGCTGGAGAGTTCCTTCTTGATGCCCATCATAATATCGGAATAGTTCTCATACCGCTTCATCTGGTTGCTTAGATGCAGGACGCTCTCTTTCATGAAGTCATTCTCCCGGCTCAGGTTGGTCTTGATGGTCTGGGTAAAAGGGTGAGTTTGGAGAATCTGAGTCACCACTTCCTCCAAGCGGCCCTACTGGCAAGAGGCCTAGAATCTACTCCCAGATGAGAAGAACTGTGTTTACTGGATTACAAAAGGAGACTTGAGAGCCAGGACCTAGCCTTTCTAAAGAAAGCATAGGCAGTTATCTGCCAATGTTTTGTGACATTTTTTATTATTTTGGTGTGTTTAACTGATCTTGCAAGAGCTTAACTCAAGACTCAGGTATGTTTCACTACAGTGACCACTGAAGTGGTATCTATGATTACCAAGATGACTGCCAGTTTGTTTTCTGGTGTTTACTTTCTTCTTCTCCAAAGCAAAGAGCCTGTACTGGCTTTTATCTTGCTAGCGCAGAAGTTGTTTCAAAATAACCCAGGAAATGCCACCTATATGTCTGCTGGGAGCACCCATTCAGAAACAGTTGTCTCTGTCATGGTAGAACACTTGGTTTGAAACCTCCCAATGTTCTGTGGTTGCTCCCATACCCAGGCAACCATTTTCATACAAGACTTTTTTGTGGTGGAACCCCTTCAGTGTTCAGAAAATTTCCAGAGTGCCTGCCTCAATACATCCTAATCCAAATCACCTTTGAAGAAGAAGAAGAAGAAATTGGATTTATACCCTGCCCTTCACTACCCAAAGGTGTCTCAGAGCGGCTTACAAACTCCTTTCCCTTCCCCTCCTCACAACAGACACCCTGTGAGGTAGGTGGGGCTGAGAGAGCTCTTGACAGAAACTGCTCTTTTTCAAGAACAGCTCTTATCAGAACTACGGCTTGCCCAAGGTCATCCAGCCAGGTGCAAGTGGAGGAGTGGAGAATCAAACCCCGTTCTCCCAGTTTAGAGTCCGCGCACTTAACTACTACACCAAACTGGCTCTCTTTGGAAGGTTTTCCATGATATAATTAGGGTTAACCCAGGACTTCTAATGGAGCAATCACAACTACATTCAGCCTGCCAAAAGTCAACTGTCACATTGATTCTCCATGAAATACATGGTCAGGCAGGTAGGTTATCCAGGAAGGCCCTAAGATGAAAGTGGCTTTATCTTTAAATGCCAGGATGCTGCCACTGAACCTCTTGCACATTCCTCTCCTCCCCCACAGGCTCTGACAACATGGAAAACCCACTGGCTGCAACAGGTGAAGAAGGAGGAAGGGGGTGGAAGGCACAGCAGCTGCACTTCTTAACATTTAAAAGTGTAGGCACCATCTACATGAAATGTCATGGCCAGAAGCTCCAGCTTCTGTGTTTATTCCAGGACTCATCCCTCACTGAAAGAAACAGCAATGTTAGCTTCCCAACCATGCCTAGCAAGGAGTGATAGAACTCTACCTACACCAACTTTACATGACGCTACATGATGGTACAGTCTATCAGTCTCCCACTAGGGCTGAAGCAACTACTCCTCTGCTCTTCACATTGGGATGTGAGATATGCTGGCTAATCTAGTGACAAAAGTGGAGAGCCCTTGTGGTGTAGTGCTTAGAGTACTGGACTAGGACTAGGGAGTCCTAGGTGGGAATGCCCATTATGACATGAAGCTTAGTGGGGTGATCTTTGGATAATCACGTTCTCTCAACCTAACCTAACTTGCCAGATTGTTGTGAGGATAAAAAACAGAAGGGCAGAGAATGACATAGGGTGCCCATATCTCCTTGTAGGAAGAACGGGATGAAAATGTAAGAGAGACATAGACATAGAATTCACACCCTCCATGTCTTACCTCCTCAAGAGTGTTCATCTGTGAGACCACCTTGTTGATGTATGAATGCACTTTCATCATGTCCATACTATATAGGGTACCCTCCAGAAGGTCAACCATTGACTGCAGCTTAAGAAGGGGGAAAAAATCAGACGGTGGATTTGTTATCCATAAAGTGCTAAGCAGCCTGGTTCAGACCTGCTTTTCCTCCCCCCCCCCCAGTGTTCTACTGCACCAGGACCATGGCACATGAAAGTACAGGACAGTTCCCAATCTATCCTAAACCTAGTCGGCAAGACCTCCAAAGACGTCAACCTAAGATAGGTCATATTGTTGCATTAACACACTACCTAGTACCTGACTTCAGAGGTTATCACTTGAAGGTCAAAGGTACAAGGGGCAACACCTCTAGGTTCCATGTTCTATGACTATTGCTTTACCCCACCGGCTTCCTCCCCAAACGAGTGCTGGTCTGTTACCTTGAGGAGCTCAGGTGCCTGCTTCTTGAGCTTCTCCATCTTCCATTCATTCTCGCAGGGATTGAGCGATGCTGGTGGGGCAGTACAGGAACAACGGCAGTCGGTGCCTGAGCTGACTGTCTCTACTGTGTAGAAGTCCTCCACTCGCATCTTGCCTTCCTTAAGGCGGCTGCAGGCATCTTTGCTGAGAGGTCGCAAAATACACTTGCAGCGGCAATCGGAGCCTTCAGAGGTCATGCGCACCTGGTCCATATCGTCAAGCACCTGCTGGAGACAGTGGGTGTAGAAGTAGGTTGGTACCACTGCTGGTGTCTCCTGCCAGAGCTTGCCCTCCCCCATGATATGGACTAAATCCCAGCAAAGCTGTTCCAAGGTTACTTCTGTTTCCACCATCTCTCCTTGCTTTCCATTTTGCCTTGCCTGTTGGTGTTTTAATGTTTTCACACATTGTATATTGCCTGGGGTACCTTTCTATCAAAAAGGCATCCAAGTAAGTGAACATAAAACATTTAACCAAACATCAGAGAGGATAAAATGCTATTTGCTGCCTGTGAGACAAGCCCCAGGTTAAATGCCTGGCTGAATAAAAAAACTCTTAGAACTTGCTGCAGCTCTGCCTGCACGTACAATATCCCACCTTTACCCCAATGGGGATGCGAGGGGCTTGCATCATTCTCCATTTTATCCTCACAACAAACCTGTGAGGTATGTCAGAGGATAAGCGTAGGTGACTGGCCCAAAGTCAGCCAGCAAGCTTCCATGGCAGAATGGGATTCAAACCTGGGTCTCTGAGATCTGAGTCCAACACTCTAACTACTATACCACTCTGGCTTCTCATGTTTTCCTTTGTGCCCAAGGCTCCAAAGGAAGTCCCACTACCTCATCACCAACAGCAGATTCCTGTTCATATTCCCTTGGAAACAGCAGACTTCACTGAATGGATCTGGCCACCTCCAGGATTCCAGGAACAGAGAAGGTGGAAAGTCAGAGCTGAAGCTTGGACCAGGTAGAGGACTGCATGCTTGGCAGTTTGGGATCTCCCACACCAACTTTTCTCAGGAGGAAGGTGCAACTGTTTAGTTCTTGCAAGGTGCAAGGATCAAGCGCCACCTCCCTCTAGAATTCTCAATCTTTGCAGGATCAGAGTCCTACCTCAGGCTACAGGAAAGGGTGATACTCTCAGTTTCCTATTTAATCCTGCAGTTGTGTATTTTGCTGGTTCAACACTTCCCATTAAACAGTTTGGGCTGTAGTCTTGACAGTAGTCTATTGCTAAGATTCAGGTCCTCCTTATCTCTGGTAAAGATACCTATTCTCCAAATTCTGCCCTGACTACTGGATCCTGCCCTGCTCATTTTTGCCTGCCTGTGATCCTTGCTGTCAGTTTACCAGGTAGATAAAAGCAGAACTAAAAGAAGGCCGGGATGTATCTTAGCAAGTGATAGCCCTGTTTTGCCCATGTCTAAGCCCAAGATTTTCTTGACAAAAAGGTACCCAGAGCGAACGGGGAGGTTTGTGGCCATCATGCCTCCCTTTTGGTTCACGGTTTTACTGTCTTTTACTCTGCATACAAGATTAGCTATTAGTATAGAATGTATATTTCAGCTTTTAGTGTACTTGAAACAGTAAGAGCAACCTGTAATCTGTTTTGAATCTTAAAGACAAAGGCAGAAATAAATGGTTATATAGGCTGCTTTGAGGGGGGGAGGGTGAAGGGAAAGTGGTGTATATTAAATAAAGCTCTTGCCATATTACCTTTGTTGGCATTTAAAGGACTCCTTGTTATTTCTGCTAATACAAACTCTCAAGGTTTAAAAAATAGGGTGCTCCTCTATCTGACACAGGAGTTAGCTGAAGTTAGCCATATGAAAGAGTGGCATGACGCAGTCCATGTTAAATGGCAGAATTGAAAGGTGTACTTACTTCCTGCCTCCATGACCTCAGATCAGTTTTAGAAAGGAGTTCCAACATGCAGGCAAGATAAGATTGCTGCAATTTTCCCTGATGGGAGTGAAAAGCCTTAGGTCCACCTTTCTCATGGGTGCTTGCCTTAGTTTTTATCCAAAGGGAAAACCTGACCCAACTAGCTAGAAGTCTTACAACAATAGATACAAAGCTTAGGGATTCAGAATTCCTAAAGAAGGGACTCCCAGAACCATCTGAAGGATAGCTCCAGCTCTTTGGCCTCCACCAACACGCTAACACCACATGAAAACTACCACCAGTACTCATCAGTTAAGGGCAAATCCTAAATAGAAGGTTGAAATAATTACTTATTTCACCTGCCAATATTGGGGTTTGCTCCCAATAGCTTAATTTTCTTAGACTTGTCACCTTATGACTTGGCAAATCCCAGGTGCCAGGTTGCCATGAAACCTAGAAATTTCATTGTGACACCTAGTATTTTCAGTGAGGATTTTATTGGAGCATCTCTCAGCAGTTCTTGGTGAAAGTACAAAGGGTGGAATCCAACCAGTTTTTCCACTGGTGAAAAGAGAAGGAAGAGACCCCTTTGACCATCAAGACCCTATATTTGGGATCATGGACAAAAGCCACGTGGAACAGGAGCTTTAATAAGGAGAACTGGCCAAGATTTAGTGAGAAAAGGTGGTTGGATCCAACCTAAGCTTATTTATAATTTCACATCTGAATGTTTTGTATGACATAAAAATAAGTTCTTGTTACTGTTTGTTTATATGTCAACTTAACTTTACACCATTCAATAGCAGTGGATTAATTCATCACTTAGAATTCATCACTTAACCAATTGCTTTCTATTCCAACAATCAGGGGTCATTTCATAGAAAAAGAGCTAGGGGGGCTCATTAGCATAACTCATTAACATATGCCACACCCCCTGACATCACCGGAAGTGTGTCCTCCCCACAGCCGGCGGCGACCTCCAGTGGGCACCAGCAGGGAGCTCCAGGCCCCGCCCTCCCGCACCTCACCCGGGGGGATGGCGTCCCCCCGCGTCCCCCCCCAAATGACCCCTGCCAACAATTAAATAGAGCTCTATAAACTAGCAATGGAATTATGAGAAATTCAGGGAAAGTTAGGCTAGAATTAGAGGTTAGCTTTTTGCTGTAATGACAACCAGAGTTACCCTTATCTATTTATATACTCCAGCACTTTTGTTATCACATTAATAAATGTATGAGAAACTGTGAAGAGATTAGGATTAATTTTTGTGGTAGCAACATTTAGAAAATTAAGTCACTAAAACAGACAACCCTGAAGGCTGAAAAACAAAATTGGCTCCTAGATTTTGCGGCTGGTTCCTAGACCCAAAGAAAATTTGCCAAGGCCTGCTTTATGGTTTGGAACTCTGGTGTACTGACAGGGAAAAGGCTTTTTGTCCTTGAGGGAAAGTCGTGGGAAGTTGCAGAATAAGAGAGATTTCTGAGGAGAAATTAAATGTCTGAGGAACAAACCAGATGTGCCTTAGCAGTTCCATGTTTGGGGCTGTGGTATGTGAGGGGGTTTAAGCCACCCACTGTGCCATTTGCTTGTGTGAAACAGCCCTGGGGAGCCACAAATTTATGGATAGTTAGCCCAGCAGGGCGTATAGAAGCCATCATGCACCTGAAAACTAGATCTGAAAAACTGCTGAAAGTTGTGAACACAGACCTCACAACAAGCACTTGGTTTGGGGAAAAGTTGGTGTTCATCTTCGTGTCTTCTGTGCAGTCCCACATGGGACTGCCGGAAGGCAGGCCTGCCGCGGAAGAACATTCCAAGAGCTTTCTCAATCCTGTAAGAATTGAGTCCCCCCTCCCCTCGGAGAGAATTGTGAAATGAGCCATTTCCCGCCCATTTGGTCACGTGACGAGGGGAGGGGGAGGCACCTCTCTCTCTCAGTCCTTTTTTTGCCGCCGTGAGGAAAGGACATATATTCCAGAGCTACTGTCTTTTACCTCAGGTTTAGACAAATTCAGTTTTTTTCCTTTTTTCTTCTTCCATCTGTTCGCTGGAGATCTCAACCTGCTCATGGCTCTATTTAAAAAGTGCCAGGCTTGTGGCTCAAAGATGGCTACAACAGATGATCATCTGAAATGCCTCCTGTGCCTGGGAGAGGGCCACAACATGTCCTCCTGCGAGATCTGTGGTACGTTAACCCCGAGAACCAAGCAAGAGCGGGCATTAAAACTAAAAGCAGCTCTTTGGGAGCAAGCCTTGTCTGGGGGCACTAGTACTCCCTCACCGTCGAATATCTCTACCGACGTCGTCAAGCCCCCCCCTAAATCCCAAAAGCCGAAAGAGGTCTCGGCAGGGAAGAGCCGGAAAAGATCCGTGTCTGCCCAACCGCCTCAAAAAAAGGCGAAAAAGGGCAAATCTAAGTCCTCTACTGTGTCCCCGATGGGAACTGAGGCAAACTTACCGGCATCGCCGTTGCGCTCAACGTCGGAGCCTTCGGCAACCGCAGTGACGTCGGCGATCGGCGCAGTCGCAGCTTCGACGTCGAAGAAGTCCGTTTTCCTATCTAAGTCCTCTACTGTGTCCCCGATGGGAACTGAGGCAAACTTACCGGCATCGCCGTTGCGCTCAACGTCGGAGCCTTCGGCAACCGCAGTGACGTCGGCGATCGGCGCAGTCGCAGCTTCGACGTCGAAGAAGTCCGTTTTCCTATCTAAGTCCTCTACTGTGTCCCCGATGGGAACTGAGGCAAACTTACCGGCATCGCCGTTGCGATCGACGTCGGAGCCTTCGGCAACCACAGTGACGTCGGCAGCTTCGACGTCGAAGAAGTACGTTCCTTCGACTCCAGCTCCATCGACGTCGAGACGCTCCCGATCGACTCGACGTCGTAGTCCAGCTTCTCGACGTCAACGTTCCTCGACGTCGAGCTCTGACGTCGTACATCAACGTCGATGAGAGTCCCCGGTTGTGGGTGATGCGGACGTCATCAGTCTTCATTCGTCCAGGAAGTCTTCCAGATCTGGTTCTTCGGGCAGCCAAGGATGGGACGTTCATCCGTGGGGCTACCCTGTCGATTGGGAACAAGTTCCCCCCTGGTGGGTGCCACCTTGGTGCCAAAAGCCTGCTGCAGAGTCGTCGGAGTCCAAGTCGAGATCCACATCGACGTCGAGACCTTTCCACGTCAAAGTCCCTTGCCGGTGCCAGGTCTCCTGTGGGACAATTGGACGTTGCTCAGTCAGAGGGACAGGCCTCGAGCGACGGCTCTGATTCCGAATCGGAACACACCTTGATCCCGTCGCCTGAGGAGGCAGTAGGGGATCCTACCCCAATTTCTCTGACTGAGGAAT